TGCTAGAGCTAGCAGACTTGTAGGTAGCATTGTAATTATGAACAAGAAACTGATAAGTGGTAGATATAGCTGTGAAAGCACTCTATCACTTTGGTGGGACAGCGAAGAACGTTTTGCAGACGTTTTGTGGAGGTGGATTATGTGAAGTGTGTAGAATAGAGTGTGATCACATGCGTCTTTTTGTTACCAAGATCAGCTGTAGAATGCAGTTAAATCATCTGGGAAACGTTACTGACTTCGATCAGCTGATTCTTAACCTAATGATTAAGGACGGGTCTAGTTTTCAACAATCATAGCTAATTTTTTGGAACCACAACGAAGACTTTTTATAGTTAGTCCAGCTCGACCAACACTATCGACTCCGCTACATAACTATTTTTTGTGTGGAAGATGAATACCCCTTTGTTTAGAAGTTACAGTAGGATTGAACAATTTTAATAAGTCCTTCTATTCACCGTATGCATAAATCCCTTAACCAGTATTCACCTAAATTATTCTCAAACTAGAAAAAAGATAAATGTTGATTTCTAATACCATACAGTGAATGGATACATGCAAGCAGTTGTTATCCTATCATAATATCATAACCACAGGATTTCTACTTCTACAAAATTAGGAAACGTCATCCTTAACCAAAACAGCCCTGACGGTGAAATAATCTTGCAGAAATAATCATGGTGTGGATGTCGGTGTGTTTATACAGTTTGAGGTTTCGCAGCCCTTTGCCCTCAAACTCCCCTTCGAAATCTTAGGTTGCTTTGACCCGGCCGCTTTGAGTACTGCAGCTTGTTAATTCTAATTAGCAAGTCGATGAAAATGCATGAGTTTTGAGTCGGGTAGCTTTGGCGCGGATTTCTCCCTTAATTGCCTCGGCTTGGATGTTTATATCAGACTCTATACTCCCCATTGACAAGTTGCTTGATTCCTCTCAAGCTATTAATCAAGACTGAGTCAAAGGGTTGGTTAATCTTGTAGCTTTTAAAATCTGGGATATTTTAAATAGCTGTAAATATTGAATATTTAATTTTGAACGATTATTGAATAACACTGAAGCCACCTGAAACATTATTTTGTCCTGAACTGTTTTGTACAAAATACTAAATTTGTTAAAAAATATTTTATGATAGTAGGATATTTTAATAACACATTTCCATTTGAGTATATGACTGCTTAAACAACACAAAAGTTTAAATCTTGACAACTTGTATAATAATGTACCGAGCATAACCAAGAGAGAGAGCATAGCTAGCTACACAAATCTTTAAAAGCCTATTTTTACTTAAAGTTAAAATAGTTTAATGAACAACTCTCAGAGTATATTATTTTTATGTAGGTGTAACTGCGACAGTGTTGTGACACAAATGATACCGTTACAAGTCAGGAGCCAAGTTTTTATTGTAAAGAACCTGTTAAGCCCGCAACAATACTATATAAATTGCAATAAGCTATCTTTTCGGTGCTGCATGGTTAAAAAGTTGGTTGAGCTTTATATTCGAGAGGAATCTAAACCAGTAATGTCTGTTCGTGGCTAAATTCAACTGCTATAGGCCTACCTTTATTTTATTTTTAATACTAAAACCGGCTTCAACCTCAATATTGGAATAGTATGTCTTGTTTAAGTCAAATCTATAATCTGAAATCATAAAAATGCATACAAGTTTTTTTCTTCTGATCTTTCTTAAAGCAAGATTACATTGCCCGTAAACTGAGTATCACGAACAGATCCGTATCCTTTGTAGGACTTAGGTGATCACTATAATGTAATTGCTTGAATTGCTTGATCAGTCCCAGGTTCTACTTGCTAGAGATTGTAAAATATTCTGGCGGTTTTAGACAATCAGCCATAGGCGAACGCTGGACAGCCAGTCCCATCCGGACCATTTAGTACTGGAACTGATTGTCCAGCTTCGGCAAAACAGGCAAGCCAATTTTACACTGGACTAAACGTCAGTCTATCATCTATAGAATATCTTTAAATACTGGAATTTAATCCCTTTTACTCCTATTCCTTGCAACATTGTATCGCCTGTAACCTGAGCAGCAGTAGCAGGTGCTAGAGACCGGTTACAAGCGCCGCTGGTGGAACTGTGACTGGAACGATCAGTTATCAGTCCTGTCATACCACGGTCAATCAGCCCAGCTGTACATAATCATCAGCTATCAGCCGTCCCTCTAATTACTGCTTATCACTAATCTTGGTCCCATTTTTAATTACTACCTCAGTAAACGTTCCGGTTCCGCGGTTAACTCTGTAACTGTTTTTGTGTCGTGGAACGGTTTGGAGATCGGTTCAAAATACTGTAAATTTATTTGTGTTGTTTAAATGATTATTTAAAAAAAATTTTTGTGAGTGTAAGATTTATATTTGGGTCTCCGATTGGGCCTCACGGTCAAACCACATCATTATTGTAGCATCTTTTATGTATTCGTCTTCTCTTTTAAAATTTTAGAACTGTAAGCATCTGTGTTGTTGAAGGTGTATTTTATATTGCATCCATATAATATGACCATCACGTTCAATACTAATAAAGGGAGTGTTAAATTATTTTTTATTGGAATCGTAGATATATATAGACTATTTATAGTAACAAATACAGTTACCGATATCAGTTAGATCGACAGGAAACATCTATTTAAATATTAAGGCAACCTTAAACTATAAATAGGCACAGTATTTGTTGGTATTGGACAAGCTTTTGAAAGATTCTCTACTTCTTTCGAGAGTTACCCAGTGTATTTGTTTATGCTTAAAAACCGCCAAGACATGACATTTTTACAACATTTACTATGTCAATACTAGAGTATTAAAACGTGAGATCAAACCTCTAGTGACTTTTAAACTAGATTTAATAATTTTGAGAAATCAGGCTTAACACAACCATCTACATTCTAACAGATAATTAGACTTGCAATAGTTTTAATTGAAATACAGCTTTATGTAATGGTCATCTAAATTTGGCCACGAACAGGACATTTTAGAAGTCGACTACATAAATTTGTTTAAAAACAAAAAAATTACAAAGTCCAACAGTATAAATTGGATATAAACATTGCATTTTAAAATTCAACTATATAAGTTTTGCTACAAACAAGGCACATAATGAGCACCTTATTTGCATCTAAAATTATGAGGTCAAAGTGAAACAAAAACATTGAAAGGTTTCTAGCCAACAATGAGTAAACATAATCATAAAATGGGAAACTAAGAAGTAATCCTTAACCTAAACATTCTTCAGTGAAATTCATATAAAACTAAAAGCTTTCTTCATCTGAAAATATAAAAGAAGAAATTCATTACTTCAAAAGAGATCACCACTACAAACTTTTTTCAATGCAAGAAGATAATTGAAGAACATATTCGATAATCACTAATAAACATGTTACCATACAAAGTGCCAACTCAACTGCTAATTCGTAAATTATTTCCCAGCTGCATGTTAAACAAGTTAACCACGAAACAGGTGATTCAGGTTCCGTTTTTGCCGGGCCTAATATAGAAATCCCGAAACCGCGACTGTAACATATAATCCGGTGCAAAAAGCGACACAGCTGCCCCAAGGTGTTACGTTTTGGGACGCTCACCTGCAAGTAATTGATTTTGGGCGAAGGATGCGGGTGGGTTTTGACCGGGCAGATGGGCATTCCCGCATAGATAACTGTTTCATAGGTGCTGTCAACAATAGTGCTTGCAGTTGTAGGGGTATGTTGTAGACACCTGTCAACTGAGGCGGTTTTATGGTCTAAGTAGTGTTCACACATTAGAGCGAATTAGGTATGAGACTGAATTTCGGTTTATCTGGTTTTAGACTTTGGAGAGTAGTGGCTATTCAAATTTCATTTTAAACTTGTATTAAATTTAAAACTGAATTGACCCATTTGAATTAAATCACCGAAAAGAATATGTCGATGTCAGTTACTAATCTGTCGAATGAACCGATTTCTTATTCAAAACAAACTATGATTACAACTTAGCGTTAACCATAGCATATTTTATGTTATTAATCTAAGATTCGAATTTAAGAGATAATATAGAATGGTAGAGCACTGTGAGCTGCTCATTCCACCATGTCTCTTATATGAATGAAAAATTAGGACAAATAGCATGTCTACCCTTGTATCAAAATATTATGCTTTAAGATAACAGGTCTATATGAAATGGATGTAGCCAATAATTGTGTGAGACAAACACACAGAATGAGACTCAGCCAAAAATGCGCTTTTTTCCTCTACCTGTTGATAATAATGGTTTTCATAGTCTAAACATGCTTATACAACAACATGCTTGATCAAGAGATTTACCTTCAAGTTTGGATTCGTCACGAAATGGGTGTAAAAACATTAATCAGTAATTGTCTGTCTCGGGCTCACCTCAGTTCATTTTTATTCTAGAACTACTATATAGAACCGTTGATTGGTCTACGTACCTTGGCAACAATTAATGCTCACCATGGTTTTTCTTGGGAACACCTCCAAACAAAATTATTTCTGAAATAATATGTCTTCATATTTTTGCCCAATGGACACGCCGTCAAATTATTAGCTGCGCCATATAGATGCAAACAAATTAATTAACAAGTTATAAAAGATTCAAGACTAAAGAGGGGACCAATATTATTTTTATGATGTAACCATCGTGTTAAAAACCCATGGTAACTAGCAAGTTGTCTTTATTATTGTTGAGGTTTAGGTACTAAAACTAACCATCGTAATTCTAAATTCTAATGGGAAAATTGCGACCAAAATATATAGAAAAACTTAATACGTCATTAGAGTTTGGTGTTTTCACTTGTAGAACGAACGCCTTTTCCGAACACTTCCCGTACTTCCATAAGTGTTAGGCCAACTTGACAACTAAATAGCAAGACTATGATTAGAGTGCAAGATTTACCTTTGTATATGTGAACTGATATTTCTGTGAATTCGTTTTTTTTATTCTTAGAAGTGACACATGCCAATCTATTTTACTTTATTTGCAGCAGTCTCACAATTTTTTTTTTTAGTTGCAGATTCCTAGAGAAGCCAAGTGGGGTGTGAGAGACGCAAGCCGCTAGACGACCCAAGTTTAAACAGTTTATATGGCTTCACATAAATAAAATTATATATTTTAAATGTGTATTTTATTCCTTCGACACCCTACATAGAAAAATGTTCATGAAATAACCTCATGTTTTATTTTGGACAAGCCTAAGCTATTAATTAATCCTTACATTAGAGAATATAAGGAATAATGTTTCCATTATTCATTACATTAAAATGAAAATGAACATTTACAAATAAATGAGTACTAATGGTTTGAATCAGTTCAAAAGCTTGTTCAGTGATCATTATTAGATGCATTATTAGGTGTTTCAATGTTTTCCACGACCTATTTGGTATAATCATTGTTAAATATCGTGTACTTTATTATGGTTTAAGTTTACAGTGAAGAAGAGTGCTGCTGACTTGAGGTGTTTTTGGGCATTTATATTACTCAAGCACCTTAAAAGAATAAAATCTAAAAAAGCCTTATAAGGCTTTAGAATCTGTATAAGATTTGTTGGCTCCACATTTAAATAAATAAAATATCTGTTTAGTTGTGGTTGTGGTTGTTACAACCTACCAAAAAAATCTAAAAAATTATAGGATAACAGTCTTTAGAAAAACACAAAAATTATTTTATCAAAGTCAACACTAATTAGAAATAATTATCAGTAATATTAGTCTTGACGGATTTCCATGATTCTTATTCTGAAGGATTGAAATTTCGAGAATCCTTAGAAAAACCAAACCCTTTACATTTTAATATATTCGTTATTTTTTAATTTTTTTTGTGGCTACTTACTATTGTCAAAACAAACCTAAAAATACAATACAGTTCTACTGTCTCCGGGAATAAAAAAATAATTGAACAAAATGTAACACTAAAGTCATTCCAAAATTGAACATGCAAAACTAAAATTATATAAAACCTAATAAATTTCAAAATTTAAATTTATTGACAGAAACTGCCAACATAAACTGCCAACATGAACTGACCGCAATGAAACATTCTCCCCCACCACGTATTCCACAGGTCTACAACCCCGATAATCCGACGAGCCCTTATTTACCGCACCCACCTGTTACACAAGGGTTGGTAAACAAATGAAGACACCCAAGACGTCGAATTGATGGCGTCTTACCCTCGCGGACCCTTGGATTCAATTCGTCCCTCCATCCATCAGCAGAGTAGCCTCAGCATCCGCCAGTATGATGGATGGAGTAATACATCATGCTGAGGAGATAGAACTGCTGACGCGTGTAGCACAGCTCAGCTGACGCTACGGTTGGGGATGCTGGAAATAAAACTCTTCAATAGAGTATCTTTACGATACTTTTGATAGAAATAGTAATTTATTAAACTTAAAATATAAATATTTGTATACATTTGTAAATTCGTTTAATCTCTTCTATCTCAAGGTGATCATGATTAAATATTTTCATTTATGAAAACTATTTAGTTTATTGAAGTTGTATTTTTTGTGATGGTAATTAATGGATCAATGAATGGAATTAACTGCTAAATTGTCTGTGTGTTATTCTCAAGCCAAAGAATAATAAAAAGTTAACATTTTTGTGTAAATATTAAACTTATGTTGTTTCCCAGGCTTGATAAAAACTACTAATTGGTAAGAAAATTCCAATTTAACTTTAATTAATCCATGACTTTCAATTTAATGTCAGATTTGTTGTTTAGTTGGTCCAGAAAAATAGCAGTATAGTTATAACTTTACTATTTTTATTGTAAAGTTAATAAAGCTGCATACTCTTACCACCGGCAGTACCAAAATATTTCTTTGATTACGTGAGATTTGGAAGACGCATGTTTAGTTTATCACAAACAGATGCAATGATTATTTAGATACTGTAGTTCTGCATTACAAACTATAAATATTAAATGAGACAAATAATTACTTGTGTATTACTTGACCACCCTTGGCGTGGCTACAAATAACAGGCAAAAGATGGTTTATTTCTAGAATATAACCATAGACTGAGGAGAATTAAAACTTTTAATTCTTCTTAGTCTATGATATAACATAAACAATTTTCATAGAACAATCTGCTTGAGTTTAGAGAAATATAAAAAAAAAATGAAATGTTAGAGAAATGTATGTTAGAGGAGCGTTACCTACACCACTATCTTAACACAGAGTTTCAAAGGTGCAAAAACACTATATTCATCAACTGTGTTTATAGTTAACGCCTTAACACCTATGTTTGATACAATTCACTCCTTCACCCATATTTCCCGACAAACTGAGAGTTTTTAATTACCATGTATGCACATGATGCCATGTTGGTAGACCTGATGTCTTATACATAGTAGTTTTAGGCATAAAATAATACACCTTATTCATTGACTGTGGTTTATAAAACAACCCTTTCGAAATCGTACTACCTGACCAGGAGTTTGTAATTGATTTTGGTGTATACTGTGTATTCATTGTCCTACCTGTGACAATCCAGTTCCAGTGTTCAATAAATAGATTAATTAATTACAGTACACACTTGTGTGCAGTAATTCCAAGACACAAAATGGAACCTCAATTACTCAAAGTATCCACAAATTACACAATGCTCCGTTAAACACCATTCCGCCAATCCGGGGTTTTTAATTACTCTGTGTCCAACCTGTGACGATCTAGTGTACAATAAATGGATTAATCACAGTACACACTTGTGTGCAGTAATTCCAAGACACAAAATGGAACCTCAATTACTCAAAGTGTCCACAAGTTACACAATGCTCTGTTAAACACAATTCCCGCCAATACGGGGTTTTTAATTACTCTGTGTCCAACCTGTGACGATCCAGTGTACAATAAATGGATTAATCACAATACACACTTGTGTGCAGTATTTCCAAGACAATAAATGGAACCTCAATTACTCAAAGTGTCCACAAATTACTCAATGCTCTGTTAAACACAATTCCCGCCAATCCGGGGTTTTTAATTACTCTGTGTCCAACCTGTGACGATCCAGTGTACAATAAATGGATTAATCACAATACACACTTGTGTGCAGTAATTCCAAGACACAAAATGGAACCTCAATTACTCAAAGTGTCCACAAATTACTCAATGCTCTGTTAAACACCATTCCCGCCAATCCGGGGTTTTTAATTACTCTCTGTCCAGCCTGTGACGATCGAGTGTACAATAAATGGATTAATCACAATACACACTTGTGTGCAGTAATTCCAAGACACAAAATGGAACCTCAATTACTCAAAGTGTTCACAAATTACACAATGCTCTGTTAAACATCATTCCCGCCAATCCGGGTTTTTAATTACCCTGTGTCCAACCTGTGACGATCCGGTGGACAATAATTGGATTAGTAGACAATAATTGGACCACGTGAGGACAGAGCGCACCAGTTGTTGCAAGAAATATGTACCACTTCCTTCCTCTGCATTAGCATAGATAGATAGCAGCGGCGATCCGCTTCCTTTCCCATACATTACCATACATTAACCGCCATTTATTTTGGTAATTAGTAAGTACTTGTCTCTGTCGCTGTTCTTTTGACAGTTGCGCCGCCGCTGACCACTGGCGGTGACCAACGGTGAGGAATTCTGTTGGGACTGTTGGAAAATGTTAGAATCAGCGGGAATAAGATGGTAGCGTTGGCTTTGAACATCATAAGTAACAGTGTGATACTGTTTTAAGTTTGAAGCAAGAGACCTCTGTCTAGTAGTTCGGTGTTTGAATCCCACCAATCACCAATGTTCAGCTATATAGAAAGTTTAAGAAGTAGGTTTACGTATTTAGAAAAGAAAAAACTAATACTTGTCTCAGGTGAGAAGAATCTTCCCTCCATTAGAGGACTAACTCCACCAAAAGGCATATGATAAAAATCATCCCTGGTCCCTGCCGCAGCAAACCTGCAGATTAGCATTCGATCGAATTTTGGCTTGAATAATTCCTTTAAAATGTCAGATTAATCTCTATTTTAATAACATCAGGATGAACAAGTACTTTGGTTTCCTGCTACAGGGAAGGTAATCAGATTTGTTTTAGTGAACTATAATAACCAAGGATGAAATAAATTAGTTTATGAAATTTGATTAAAAAATAGCGATAAGCAACCAAACTGCAACAATAATCAAAACAAATTAATCAAATCAAAACAATCAAACTTATTCTCCATGATGAAATTAAAAATTTTGAGTTTTATCACATTTTCTCCGTATAAAACATGAAACAACAATCAAATATACTAAATTATTTTTTTTAAGCTCTAGAAAATGGTTTACAAAGACATTGTAACATTTTATATATTGAGAATAAAGAATTAAAACCCCCATGTTTACTCCCAAAACACACCCATAATATCCCATTCATAAGTCTGACTATGTGAACTCGTTGGAATAAATGGAGCTCTTTCTCTAGTATATGAGAAATTCACTAATACAAGTACAAGTAGTTCCCCATTCCCCAATTTATTGTATAGCCTAAAGTTTGGTGTATTTCTCATATCCGAAAATCTTTCAGTTCACCCATATCAAATATATAATCTTTCTTATTTTAGTGTATAATTATGTGTGTAACGTGTGGTTTACTCGTTGGTTGAAATGCGTGAGAGAAATCATTAGTTAACAAAAAGAGATTTAGTTTATATAATGTGGGTAAAAATTGGTTTGGTTTTAAGACCTTAAGATCAAACAAAAAATCTAATAATTCTGATGAAACATACCCTTCTCAGATAATCCAAAGGATGGATATTTTCGTTTTTATACAATATTAAAATCAATACATAGTTTTTTTACCAAAAATTTTCTCCCACATTTTACCTTCTCTTAAAATTTTGTCTATATTTTACTAGTAAAGTTGCTCATTGAAAATATAAATAAAACATTACATTTTCGACACTTAACACAGAATCCTACGAAACCAATGACACTTTAAACTGATTACCTTCATAATATAATTCAATGATGTTTTAATTTAGACATCCAGGGAAAATCAGTTTCCCCTTGACACCATTGCGTCCCTGATACACGCACACAACAGACAAAACACTTGCTGCCGTCAGATTATGTGAGTGATGTGGGATTTCGGCCTAATGAGACAGAATCACGC